GCAATACTCTTCTATTTTCCAGGTTGATCCAATTTTTAATCCATACCATAGCAGCTGCCTGGTAATACATTTCCCAGTCAGGGAGTCCAAAGCCACCCCTTTCTCTTTTATCCTGCAGTAATTTCATTTTTATCCTGGCTTTTTTCCCGTCCCAAACAAATTTGCTTATTATTTGATCTAGTTCCCTAAAAAGGTTTTATCCAATCTTATTGGTACAGTTTGAAAAAGATATAGTATTTTTTGGTAGTGTAGACATTTTAATTGCCGCAATTTCCCCCAGTAATGATAGCTGTAATTTCCCCAACATTTCCATTTTTTAAAAAAATTGTATTATAAATTTGTCATAATTATCTTTTTTAATTGAAGAGCATCTTGCTGTTACCTTTTTCACACTTTGCATTCCCAATTTTCCTTCTAATTCTTTTTTTTGTTTTGTTTATCCTTTAGATTTTTAGTCAATAATTTTGTTTTGTTTTTATTTATCTTAAGGCCCGTGACCTTGCCGAATTCCTCTATTTCCTTTATTAATTTTACTCCCATATCCTCTAGATCTTCCAGAAAAAATACTATATCATCGGCGAATGCCTGTACTTTATAATGCTCCTTTTCAATTAAAGCCCCTTTAATTTCTTCATTTTTCCTAACATTTTCCAACAGATTTTCTAAAGTAAGGATAAAGAGAAGGGGTAACAGTGGGCATCCCTGCTTTTACTCCCTTGTTAATTTTAAATGTTTCTGTTCTATCACCGTTCAATATTACACTGGCATCTGTGTCATATAAATTGTCGAAATCAGTTTGATAAATTTATTGCCAAATTGCATGTTTTTTAATTGCTGTATTATGAACTGCCAATTAACATTGTCGAATGCTTTTTACGCATCAAGAAAGACCATTGCCCATTGTTTTCCTGGGTTTGCTTCATAGTATTCTATTATATTCATTACCATCAAGGGTGGGATTCAAATTTCTTAACAACCGGTTCTGTAGGTGTGGCTAGGTGGGCGTGCCCATGTTACTGGGTGGGCGTGGCTTCTTTTTTGCAGCAACCTTCCCCCCATTTTTTTGCCTCCTAGGCCTCGGGCAAGCTTCCTGGGGGGGGGGGGGTTTGCTCCCGGAAGGCTTCCCTGGGGCCCAGGAAGGCAAAAAATGGAGCATGGGGGGT